GGGGCAGGTGCGGGGGGCGGACACTGTGGGGGCACAATTGTAAGGGGAGGGGTAAGTTGCATCAGATGAGGAGTCTTTGCATTTCAGTGGGTAGGAAGGACCTTGGAGCCCTGGTGGTGCAGTGCTTGAGCGCCCAGCTTCGAACCGTCGGCGCTTGGTGCTCATCTGGCGAAAGATGGGGTCCTGACAGTCCACGTCTGGGGGCCCAATAGGACAACTAGACCCTCTTCCAGGGTCGCTGTGAGACTGAATTGTGGCAGTGACTTTTTTGTTAAAATAAATTTTTTTAATGAATCTTAGCGAATCTGCTTTAGAAATTAATCGAAATGGGTCAATGGTGAATTGTTACATATCTAATGTAAAATTATTTTCTCCATCTTTTGGGAGGGGTGAGGATGGATTTAGTAGATTTTACTTGCATATTTTACAAAGGGCCTTCAAAAACTTGACTCACCTGCTGCTAAAAGGTTATGGCATCTTCCCCTGAGCTTTAAAGCCCTTTCTATATTCAAAACCTTTTGATCTAAATCACTGGTTCCTAAACTATTTGTCTTACTTCCCCCCAATTCAAGGAAAATTACTCAGTGCTTTCCTAGCATTTAAAAACGTCTGCCCTGCACCCCATAATGTAGAATAAAGTGTAGGGATCTACTTTTGCAAGCCTCCCTGAATTGTCCCAGCATCCTCCAGGGAGGCAGTATTGACTACTTTGGTAAACACTGAAGCCTGTCAGTGATAATATAACCTATGGGGCTACAAGGAAACCTGTTAATAGGGACTTTTACTCAAATTTACCCACTAATCAAATGACAAAGGTGAGGAAATTGAAGGTTTTTAACAATGTTTGCAGTGTGAAAAGGATTAAATGCATTGATAATTACTGGTGATTGGAAAGAGGAAATTGGAAACAAAGAAGGCTTGATAGTTGGAAAATAAGACCTTAGTGATAAACTAAGCTTCAGGTCACTTGAGAATCCAGGATTTCCTCACTGTTAGTATTGTTGGGTTGATAATGACAAGGTTGGCAGTTCAAATTCATCGCTTCTCTTAGAAAGATGAGGCACACTGTTCTTGGAAAGCTTTACAAAACCTTGGAAACCTATGCAGGGTCGCTATGAGTTGGAATAGCCTCCATGGCAGAGAGAGTTGCCCTCCAGCATTCAGAGTGATTGTTCCTCATACATCTCACCAAATGGAGCACACGAGAATCAACTTGATTACATCCGTGGGAGGAGATGATGGATGAGCTCAATATCAGAATAAGGCCAGGGTGCCCACTGCTTTTAGACCATCCATTGATCATATGTAAATTTAAATTGAAGCTGAAAAAGATCATGAGAGCCAAAATAACCTCATTGTATATATCACCTGAATTTACAGGTCATCTCAAGAATAGTTTTGCTCCCATGAACACAATTACCCAAAGACCAGCTGGCTTTTGAATATAAATGTTAATTTAGTACTTAAGAATTGATTCAATATAACTGGTTAGGGATGAAATAGATAGTTATTTGTTTTTATTTTGATGTATTTTACTGTAGACGTTTAGACCCACAGCTGAGTGTTCTTTTTTAGGATTGGCTGATTACTGTCACCTTAAATTAGATAACTAAAGTAGCAGTACCTTTTAGTTACGTAGTTTTAATGTAGTAGTTAAAACTGATAGTAGTTGACCTGAACTCAATTTCTGCTCTTAGCTTTAGTAAACCACATTTCTGGAACAGTGAAGTGTGGCCCATGGCCTACAGCTTCAGATCTTCCATAGTGTAAACAGAAGGCCACTTACATAATTTTGTCTGCTATATGTGCTGGCAGTGCTGATTGACACTGTCTCTGAAAATTTGCTCACCTTAGCAGTTAATTGGTATTTGCTAGAGAAAGGAATTCTAGGGCTGTTTTACCATACGTCCTGAATCAATAACTGGGTGAGGCACAACAGTTTTGAATTTTATCAACCCTGGCCCATCAGGTTATTCTGATGCTCGCCAGACTTTGAGAACATGTTCTAGAGAAATTAAAGATAAGTGGAACTTATTTTACTTAGTCTTTGTGGTATCACAACCCCCCCCCAATGTTTTTCTTTTCAATTATGCTTCATATTAAACATTTAAATGTTAACCTGCAACACTAAACATGAAAAAGATGAATAATCCAATTTAAAAAATGAGTGACGGACATGGACATCCTCGTGGTAGCTAACAAACATAAAATGCACACCCATCACTAACCATCCTAGCTGCAAATCTAAACAACCAAATACCATCTCACACTGGCATTGATGGCAAAATTAAACCAAAGCAAACAAAATAACATGCTGGAGGGGGTGCAGAAATATTGGAACCCTCAGTGCTAGTGGGACTAAAATTGTACAATCAAACAACAGAATAGAAATTCCATATGGCCCAGCAATCCCTTAGCTGGGTGTATACCCGAAGAAGTCAGGCTTGACACAAACACAGCACTGTTTGCAATAGCCAGAAGATGGAAGCAACCTAAGTGTTCATTGTAGAAGAATAGGTAAATCTTGGTACAGAGACACAATGGGATACTATGCATTGGTGAAGAATAATGCTGAAGCAACAAAACATTGTATGGCATGGATGGATGTGGAGGACATTATACGGAGTGAAATGAGTTAATCACAAAGGGACAGACATTGTGTGATATCATAATTATAACAAAAAATCCAGAAAACGGTTTCATACCAAAGGAAACAGACTGATGGTTTCCATGGTGTATAAAGCAAGGAACTTGAAGGGAGGGTGGGGTGGAAAGGGGGAACGGATTAAAAGGATCTATGTATAACCTCCTCCTTGGGGGATGGACAACAGAAAAGTGGGTGAAGGGAGACATCGGTCAGTGTAAGATAAGACAAAATAATAATTTGTAAATTATCAAGGGTTCATGAGGGAGGAGGGGGGGATGAGCTGATATCAAGGGCTCAAGTAGAAAGCATATGTTTTGAGAATGATGATGGCAACAAATGTATAAAAGTGCTTGACACAATGGATGTATATATGGATTGTGATAGGAGTTATACGAGCCCCCAATAAAATGATTTAAAAAAAGACTTAAAATAACAAAATAAAGAAAAAAAAGCAGGGGCGAGAAAATGTAGAGAGGTGTTAATTTTGGGTGAAGGAGAAGAGTATTCCACAGAAGGCAGAAGAGAAATCCCAGAAGGGTATGGCAAACTATTGGGGCTTTAATAAGTATAGAGTTGTTGAAGACCACATGTATGACCCAAAATGTAACCCCCCTATATCTAATGCAAATTTAAAATTGTTAAAATATTATAGAAGGTATTGCAAAATTTATTCATTGAACCTGTCTGGTAGTATATTATTTCCACCTCTCCTTTTTTGTTTTGGGAGGCGTTTTCTTAGTTTTAGCATTAGTGATAAGATTCTTTGCTCCCTAAAACTTTCTGGACGTGATCACATTAACTTTTTTTTTCTTTTCTACTTTATATATATGTTTATACAGTGAGAAGGACTATAACAGCTAATTTAGTCCACACAGCAGTACAGAGGGTTCAGTTCAACTCACTTCCACGAAACAGTTAATATACGGAAGTCCTTCAACTCATGTGGGCTGCCAGATCCAAGGTCAAGGAAGCAGACAGCAGAGTGGGACAGCAACAGTCAGTAGCCTGGGAGTTTAGTGAGGCCGGCCCTGATGGTGTCTGGAACTCAAGCAAGACAGGTTCGACCATCCAGCTTCATGCTCTAGTAACACGATCCACAAGTTGGCTTGGCCCACAGGTAGTGTAGCTAACACAGGTTGTGGCAGAGAACTAGCTAAAACAGAGCATGCTAGTCCAATCACCAAGGAGCGAGAGAGAGGGGGTGGGGGCCACATTAACTTTTGTGTGTAATTTTTCCGCAAAAAATCAAACCTGTATGGTTAGAATTTTTATCTTTTCATAGTATTAGATTATTTCAGCAATTGCAACTGGCTTTAAAATTTTCGTGCAAAAATTGTTATTTTTCAAATTTCTTTATCCATGCACTGTATATACTGTATTTCACAATGCAGATGTGCCCTGCAAGGTAATTTTCTCCTGATTGACATAAAGGCTCTTTCCAGTTTATATTAGTGAATTTCCGTATTTTGTTACCTAGTACCTCACTTCAGAAGGCACTTTGATGATGGCTTATAGGATTATTGTGTTGCTCACCACAAGTCAGGGGTTCAAACCCACCCACCAGCCACTTCCGCAGGAGAAAGATGAGGCTTTTTGCTTTCATAAGGATTTTAGAGTTTTGTCAGGGGAGGCTGGGGGGGCGGGTGAGCTGATAATAAGGAGTAAAAGAAGGAAAAGGTTCTTAAATTGATTGTACAACTCTTGTTGATAAGATTGAACTATTGAAATGTACTATATGTGGATTATATGCCAATAAAACTTTTTAAAAAAAAGAAATATGTTGTACATGTGAAAGCGTTTGAAGTAACAATCTTTTAAAATAGACCCCCCCAAAAAATAGATTTCCCACCCCCTCCCAACATAAATAAAAGAATGAGATTATGCATTAAAATATTTTACAGTTTTGGAAACCATATAGAGTTGCTATGAATTGGAATTGATTAATCAGCGGTGGGTTTAGATTACCTATGTGAGGAGCTCTGGCATCTCAATGACTAAGAACTAGGTTGTTAACCAGAAGGCTTTGGTTCTCATTCACCAACTGCTTTGTGGGAGAAAGATTACAACCTCTGAAACCCTATGGGGCAGTTCTAATCTGCCCTATAAGGGTTGGTAAGAGTAGGAATTGTCTTGATGGCAGTGGGGTCTGGTTTAGGATTTTGGCTCCCTAGGGATACTGTAACAAAATATCCACAAAGTAGATGCCTGTATAAATAAATAAATTTTCTTAGTTTTGGAGGTTGAATTCAGCGTGTTAATCATTGTCTGTGGACTCTGTTCGTTGTAAGGGAAGACCCTTTTCTTTTCCAGCTCTGGTAACCTTGGGGGGGGGATTCTTGGCATTTCTTAGCATCTGTCTAACTAGTTTGTGGTTTTATTTCTGTATGTTCTTCTCTTTTATGACACCGTTCAGGAGGCATGAGGACTTGCTGTGTTCTTCCCCCATGACCTTTAATAGCATTTTCTAAGAATCCCCAAGTTCAAAACTTTTTCTTTCTACGTGAGTCCTTGGTATCAGCTCATTTTTTCCCCTCCTTCGCTTTCCCACTTTCCCTACCCCATCATAAACCCTTAACAGTTTATGAATTATTGTTATTATTTCATGTCTTACACTAACCGGTCTCCCTTCATCCACTTTTCTGTTGTCTGAAAATAATGAAAGTATTATTACAAAATCATATGCCTTTTTATTAAATACATCAAAATATGGAACTGTTGTGTCTCCACATACCCTCCATCTAGATCTATGTACACTTCTAAAGGTAGCGTTTCCTCTCTCAAACTTATTTCCTAATGTACTATGCACTCTTGGAATCCCACCATGTCAAAACAGTACATTTGGCACCCTTCAGGGATTTAAATTGTGTTCCTTTGAATGTTTTTTGAGTTTTGGGAATAGAAAGAATCCTGAAAGGGTAAAATCAAGACTTCCCCTATGTATTCTTCCAAAAAGCTTATCAAGATTACCCCTTTGGAACTCCAAAGACTTACTAAAGCTATTCAAACTGACCTCCCAGCTTTGAATTTAGCTGATTTAGCATATCCCCTTGGGAAGGCCACTGTTGTGATTGGATCTTTTTTGGGGAAGGCATCCTAATGAGACTGACAAGTATTTTGCTGAGGGAGCTTGATTGCAGACACCCACTGATCTCCCCATTGTTTGGAATAAACATGTGCATGTTGAGTTATAGTCAAATTAATACAGCCCTTCCAGCTTCTATAGCCTATGGCTATAGTTCCATTTTGGAGGATATTGTCTACTAATGAACAGGAATAGGATGAGGTCTTAAGATCTGACCTTAGAGCAGCGTTCTCAAGCTGTGGGTTGGGACCCCTTTCACGACCCTTTCACGGGTCGCCCAATTCATAACAGTAGTAAAATTACAGTTATGAAGTAGCAACAAAAATAATTTTATCGTTGGGGTCACCATAACATGAGGAACTGTATTAAAGCATCGCGGCTTTAGGAAGGTTGAGAAAGTGGCCTTAGAGGATGGGAGCCTTGGTGGCATAGTGGTAGCATGTTGTACCTAGCCCCGCAAGGGCAGCATTTCTAAGCCACCAGAAACCATAAACTGCTTCTCTGGAGAAAGGTAGGGCTTTCTACTTTCATAGAGTTACAGTCTGGGAAATTCTCGGGGTTTGGATGACCTATGGGGCTGCTATGAGCTGCCTTCCACTTAGTGGCACTGAGTTTGGTTTTTTGTTTTAGTTGAAGCATGGCTACTGGTACTGGTACTGGATGTAAGGAAGGAATGGTATGCTACAGCTGAGAGGAGAAAAGCTATTTCTGCAGTGGCCTGGGGAAAAAGCCTGTCGTATGATTAAAATTAGGAGGAAGCCAATGCCTGCAAGAAACATCCTGCCAGAGGAGCCCTGGTCATACATATACATATACATACATACATACATACACATATATATAAATAAGATATAGTTCAGGAGTGGAGAATAGATTATTATATTTGAGTATGTATCATTGAGAAGATGAAGGGCTATATGTTAATTTGATTGTACTATTGATTTGATGTAACTGTCATCACTGGACTTTTTCGTGTTTGGGTCTGGTAAGAAGTTGGGGGGTTGGGGGCAGAGATTTGCTTGTGAGTAATTGTGTATAGGATTCCTTTCAATGCCTTTGGCTTATGGATTGAACAGCACTCATCACCAGGTGAGACATTTTCTAAAAGTTTTATAAGTTTCTGTGGAACACTGCATTGATTCACAGAATCCAGAAATATGAGGGGATTATTATACTTAATGGAGGGGTAGGGAGAAAATGGAGCTGAATCACATCCAATGCAAGAGTTGAACATTTGGGGCATTATTAATTCCCAAGTTCTTGGGACTAGTCTTGTATTAATTTTTCTAAAAGAGATTATTACCACACATTTATCAACTGGGACTCTAGCAGCAATACAAGAAAATACAACGAAAGGAAAAATTCCATTATATTTCCATACCATATTTCCATGAGCCTTTTGAACTTCCTTCATAATTTTTTACTTACCCTCATATATATAGTGCCTACTTTGAGATACTTTGACTTACAACTACTTAATATTGTGAAAAATAAGTGTAAGGTAGTCGAGAGGCGCCAGAAACCAAATCATTCAAATTAGAACAAACAGGCTTTATTAGGGAGAAAAAAACCCAGCCTGGGCAAAGTCCCACAGTCCACAATGTCCGGGCTGTGGGAGTCGCATCGCAGGCTACAGGGCTGCTGCTGATATGGACAGGTATGTTCGGGTTCCTGGAATGTAAGGTGTCTAACTGGTTCCGGGTGTATTTGTGCCGGGTGCAGAGTGCCGGGTCGAGAACAAAGCGGGCCATTAGCCAGTTCTGGTCAGTTCTGCAGGTATGTGTGGGAGATTCAAGGCCACTTGATGCTAGTTGTTTCAGCCAGCTCTGGTCAGCTCTGCATGGGTGGGGGAGACTCAAGGTCACTTGTTGCTAGAAGCCAGCCTGGTATTGATCCGGCCATACAATAAGCATAAGCTTCCCCCACCCCAACAGTTTCATTGGCACATAATTTACTTGCCATACAATTCAGTAGTTCAATCATATCAAGGAGAATTGTGCAGTCGTAACCATATAAATTTTAGAACCCGATCTCCGTGGTTAAATTACCTTTAAAATGAGTTGTGCAAATCAGTCATTTCTAGTGCTCCCTCCCTCCTTCATTTTTTATTCCCTGAAATTTTTTCCCTCCCTACTGTCCACCCCTAAATTTCCTATCAACCCTTGTATGAGTTATTATCACAAAGCATCCATTCTTCCTGTGCATCACAAACTGGGGAACCCCACAGAAACAATAAAAAACAAAATTGAAATAAGGTGGTAAGGATAAAATAATAATAATAATAATAATATAAAGACAATAAAAATAACCCCCTATCAACATTCAAAGAGCCAGAGAAGAAATTTCTGCCATGGAATAAGTAAGATACTTGCACCCAGAACCAAATCAGGTTGGGTCTATAAAGAGGTCAACTGGTCAAGTCCCGAGTTTGATCCAGCATAATCAAGATTACAGTGGTCTCTGCCTGAAGTAAGGCTGCTCGATACTGTTGCTTGTGGCTAGAGTGGATCTGCTAGCTGCTCAGTCTGACTAGATGAGTTTTGGGTTCCCACTGTCCTCCATAGCCTTCTCCAAACGGTGTTCATAATTTTAGCTCTGATACTTTTCCCTTCACTATCTTTGAATTTTGTAATTGTTATCTTTGGGTCACATAAACTGGTCTGCTTCTTCCTTGTGGACTTAGTTGACTCTTGGCTTAGATGGCTGCTTGTTTGAATACAAGCCTGTAAGACCCCAGACATCATTCCAATTGATACACCATCTGCTTTCTTCACCACACTTTGCTCTGTAGCATCTTTATCTTCAGTGATCCTCTCATGAAGGTGAGTATGGAGCAGGGTCATGTTATCAGCCCTAACTATTCTTGAATTGGGGATAGAGTTAAGTAAGAGCCCAGACTCCCGTCTGCTTGTCCGTGGGGTTTGTATGTCTCAGATTTACTTTGGTGGTCTTTATTTTTACTTTGGTGGTCTTAATAAGACAAAATCACAACACGATTAGACCAACTTGTACCAATAGCAGCCATAGACCAACCAGCTACCAAACAAACAACACACACACACACACACACACACACACAGATAAAAGGATACTGAGACTGATAATTTGATGCTCAGAATTTTTTGGGAAAGGTGTAGAGAAATGGAAATAACCACCTGCAACAGTATGCAGACTTACATGGAAGATATGGCAAAAAAGCAATAGATTCCCATTTTGATATTTTTTGCCTAATAAAAAGTTCTATGTTATAGTAGTATAAAATAATTTTTTAATAAGATATATGAAAAATATGTAAGGTATAGGTAGTTCTATTTTTACTAGTTTCTGCTAACTGGCACATGTTCTTAAAGCATTTTTTCTTTTGATACCAAGGGGCATCAAAATGTTTGTGAAAAAATTCTTTTAATTCTGCTTTTCCATAAACTTTTAAAAGTCCTCTTACATGTACGAGATTTAAGACTGATTCTGCTTTCAATATTTAGCCAATAGTTTTCATAAACAGAAAAACAAAGAGATGCTTCTGACAATGGGTTTGGAACTTTTTATGGAAAATATTGAGCAGTTATTCTTTGATTAATATAAGGTATATGATGCTTCAATTGACACAAAAGCAGAAGTGACCCAGTTATTTCTAAAGCTATCCAGTTCTCCTTCCTAGAAGCAAGTTACTGTTTTAAATTAGTTGTGTTGCTATCAATTGTAAAAACATACATTTTTCCTCCCAAAAAGGAATCCCGAACACTGGCTGAAATTGCAAAAGCAGAGCTGGATGGCACCATTTTGAAGAGCAGACCTCTCCGAATTCGCTTTGCCACGCATGGAGCAGCCTTAACGGTGAAGAACCTTTCTCCAGTTGTTTCCAATGAGCTTCTAGAACAAGCCTTTTCCCAGTTTGGTCCAGTAGAGAAAGCTGTTGTGGTTGTGGATGACCGTGGTAGAGCTACCGGAAAAGGATTTGTAGAATTTGCAGCCAAGCCTCCTGCCCGAAAGGCATTGGAAAGATGTGGGGATGGAGCTTTCTTGTTAACAACGTAAGTGTTCACGCTTCTTGTCCTTTTCTGTCTCCGTTTGCAATGGGTTTTGTTGGGTCCTCGCATTTTGTGTGTCTTTGCATTTTCTACTGTTAACACCTGAAGTTTCTCCAGTTATTAACATCTGGTAAGTAGATGTTGAGTCAATCCTTAATATAATACGGGATTTTGTCTACTGCTGTGAGTTTGGAGTTTCTGTACTTTTTTCAATTTATTGATTCAACATAGGGATCAGTATTTTGGTCCACGTTTTCAAGTAGCTTAAGCCATTGATTTAGTTTTAAGGAAAAAGAGAAACAACAGCTTAATCCTTTTTATTGTAGAATTTGACAATTCCTCTTGTTCATTTATTTCCTCTTCAACATCCATTAAGTTTTTTTTTTATCCATTAAGTTCTTATTTGTCAATTCCTTTTTTTTCTGAACGTAGTCCTGCCTGCCATATACATGATTATTCTATTGATTTCTTCCATCATATTATCCTGATCAAATGACTTGGTGTGTTCACATAACCCAGTTTTCTTTTTTTTTTTTTTTAAGAAATTTTTCTAACATTCACTATGTATCTTTTCCTGTAACTTCCTTCCAAGATGATAAAATATTCCAGATAAACTGATATTTTCAAGTGTGGTATATCGTTAGTTACTCAGGTTATCTGTTTTAGGGGCCTTGATAGTAAGCCAAGTTAAAAAAAAATTACTGCTATAAAAACAATCTTTTTTTTTTTTAATCACTTTATTGGGGGCGCGTAGAACTCTTATAGCAATCCATCCATCCATCCATGTGTTAAGCACATTTGTATATTTGTTGCCGTCATCATTCTCAACATTTTCTTTTTACTTGAGCCCTTGATATCAGCTCCACATTTTCCCCCTTCCCTGCCCACTCCCCACTCCCTCATTAACCCTTGATAATTTATAAATTATTATTTTATCATATCTTACAAAAACAGAACTTTTTATTAGGCAAAAAAAAATCAAAATGTGAAGCTGCTGCTTTTATGCCATATCCTCCTTGTATACTGATGCAGGCGGTATTTACATTTCTTTAAACCTTTCCCATCAAAGTAGAAATTTTGGTATCCTTGGACTGAGATTGCATTCCTTTTAAATGGTCATTGAGTTTTGGGATCAAAAAGAAATCTAAAGAAGTAGGATCAGGACTCTTGAGGGGGAGGTGGTGGTGAGTGTGTGTGTGTGTGTGTGTGTGTGTGTGTGTAAACTTCCCACTGAAATTCTTAGACTTCTTTTAAAGAATGAACAGGGGGGGAAAAAAAGAATGAACAGGTGCATTGTGTGGAAAAAAATTCTTTGGAGCATTTTTTTGCCCTTTTCCAATTTTCTGAAAACTTCCGAATAAGCTCCCATGAAAATCTGTCAAGATTGCTCCTGAGGGAACCCCTACAGACCGTTTTCTTCCATAACCTGATCTGCGTTCTTGACCTTGAATTGAATTAGTGTTGTAGATCCCACTAGAAGTTGCTGTTTTGATTAGGTGTTGCTCTCTTGATTAATTTGCTAAATACCAAGAATTGTCCTGATTTACGATTTGTCATTAACAACATCTTCATTTAGCTTTGATCTTGCTTAAAAGGTCTTTGAGCCAGCTGATCTTCACTCAATTTTTAATTTCATTTTAAATTAAATTAAAATGTGTTGAGTGAAGATCATTTTATTATTTTAATGAAATTAAAAATTAATGAAAAAGATCATTAAAAGGTGATGCACAGGAGGAGTGGATGCTTTGTGATAATAACTCATACAAAGGTTGATAGAGAATGCAGGGGTGGGTGGTAGGGAGGGAAAAGATTTCGGGAATAAAAAATGAAGGGGGGGGAAGGGAGGGAGCACCTGGAACTGACTGATTTGCACGACTCATTTTAAAGGTAATTTAACCATGGAGGTGGGAGTTCTAAAATTTATATGGTAATGGTTGCACAATTCTCTTTGATATGATTGAACTATACATGAATTGTATGACATGTAAATTATGTGGCAATAAAGCTGTTATTAAAAAAAATAAATAAAAGAAAAAAGACATACAACCCGAGACCCTATGGAGTTCTACTCTGTCCTGTAAGTTGGAAATGACTCGATAGTATGTGTTTTCATCACCCCGAAGGTAACCCCAAAGTCATATGGTAGTCATTTCCCATCCCTCTGCATCACTAATCCACTTTCTGTCCTCTCTTTGTTAAAAAAAAAAAAGGTATCGTGAATGTTACATTGTACAATGTGCAGGAATAGACAATTATTTAATGTGGCTCTTCTAGGCAAAGAGTCTACCTCCCATCAAATGATCTTTCCCAGCAAGCACCTGGTAAAAAGGTGGTTAAGGTGGTTAAGATACTGATAGGATTCACTCACTGGAGTGGCAGCCTACTGTTTATAAAATAAGCCCTCTGGCACTAAATTAAACGTGCAGAAGTTGTTAAATTGGAGAAGGTTTTGTTGTGTATATTTCACCACAATTAAAAAAATAATTACAAGAATAACAACTAAGTACAAGGAAGAAGAAAAGTTCTAAAACTGATTGCAGCAATGATTGTATTGAGATGACTAAATTGTAATGGCATGTGGAGAAAGTGCCAGAAAATAAGCCCTCTGAGAAGCAGGAAGGATCTGATGACCAGTGAGACCCAGGAGTGGAGCTCATCCTCTAGGCCTCAGATACTTATGCAGTGAACCTCCTGACTCAGGTTACCAACTACATTATCAGAAGAGAAGCAGCAGCAGAACCAGGAGCCAGAGCATGAACAGAATGATGACTTTCTCCAACCCACAAGTACTTTTGTGCAGGAAGCTGGCTCGTGGAGGGGAATGCAATTGGGGAAGTTGGACTTGCAGAGCCAGGAAAAGCAGCTTGAGCTGAATGCCTTCAGGCTGAGACTTATAGAACTAGGTACTCTGGGGATTAACAGACCTGAAAGAATTTTTTAACATATCCTTGTCATCAGTTCTGGTAATTAATTCCCCTTAAACATTTCTCATTGGCATTATAATGGACATTAATTTAGACATTATAATGACATGTTGTTTGGGAAATAATAACTATTTGTTATTCCATTGTAAGTATACTTTGAATTACATGATCAATTCTCTACTAAGCAATTTAAATTTGTCCAAGGAACATATTTTTTGACTAGAAATAAAATGTATGACCAATGCCACTTATCAGCATTTTAAAATTCCAAAGATAAAGTCTGGCATCTCAGGGGAAACAGGAAGGGAGGGGGAAAAATGAGGTGCTGATACCAAGGGCTCAAGTAG